GGCCGGGCACAGTGGCTCACGCCTGTAATCCTAGCACTCTGGGAGGCCAAGGTGGGTGGATTGCTCAAGGTCAGGAGTTCAAAACCAGGCTGAGCAAGAGCAAGACCCTGTCTCTACTATAAATAGAAAGAAATTAATTGGCCAACTAATATATATAGAAAAAATTAGCTGGACATGGTGGCGCATGCCAGTCCCAGCTACTCGGGAGGCTGAGGCAGGAGGATTGCTTGAGTCCAGGAGTTTGAGGTTGCTGTGAGCTAGGCTTGACACCACGGCACTCTAGCCCAGGCAACGAAGTGAGACTCTGTCTCAAAAAAAAAAAAGTTACCTTAAAAAGTCTCTTATTGTGTTAAGATATATCCAAATGTTTCATCAAAGGATAAACAGGAGAATTTAGTTTAGATCATTTAAATGTATAAATGAAAGAGGATCACTGCTTGGTGTCTGGACTGAATAAATATGCTAAGTATTTCAATTTAGATAATTAGGAGTAAATGAAAGATTTGTACAAATTTTGGTTTCAACAAATATTAGGTTACCAAAAAAAAAAAAATCTGTACCAAATTAGTCACATTTTATTCTCCTTTTATAAAAACACTCATGAATATATATAATAAGTTTTATGTACAGATACATATACCAAAGTGTATGAAATTAACTCTGAATAATTTGTTGGGGCACAACTAAGTTTTTAATTTCATACAAATCTCATGAATGTTATTTTCTGTTGTTTCATCAGGAAAATGTGCATTTCTTATTTGTTACATTTTGACATTATATAGCGTGCTACTGTCTAAGATATACAGCCATTAAACATAATATTTTACAATGTAGATCAAATGGCCAACAAGTTGTCATATAGAAATCTGAACACTTAAGTGAATTCAAAATTACACTTGACCTCATTCAAGACTCAATTTAAATCTCCTTTTTTAATTTAAGTGTTCTAAACAAAACAGAAAGTATGCATCTGAACATCTAGTGTACATTATTGAATGTTAAGTCATCAATTATATTTTATAAACATTTAATAAATCAATAGTTCTGATGATCGATTTGACTAACATTCACCCTTCATCTTCACAACAATGAGAAACTGAAATTCTTTATAAATCGTGAAGAGATGAGTTAAAGTATTCAAATTTATACCTATATATTAGCACTTTCCTATCATGATGTTTGTATATGTTTACTCAGCTATGTTCATCATAGCTGGAAGTCATTATACATGGTGATCTAATATTTATATTATAACAGGGGTGGCTAAAATTAAGTAGATTTCTTGAAGAAACAACAATATTACAGCCTCCATTAAGAAAATAAACTGATCAATACATTTAAAGTAATGCAGCAAGGGTCTTCCAGTCCATGTTTTTCTTAAAAAGTACTGTTATATTTTATTTTATTTTATTTTAAATCAGAACTCTGTGCTTCTGACCAGTGTGCTAAATTACCCCCAAATCAGAGAACACTGATCAGGTACTAAGTCTGAATTTTTCTATTCCTGATGGTTTTTGAAAATAGCTGAAAACACACTGACTCTACAGGTGAAATGGAAGAAAAAAAAAATGGAGAACTTGAGAAATACACAGAAAGTAATTCACAACTGTACTTTAACAACAATTTGGTCCTCTTGGATCTTAGTCAACAGGACCAACATTCCTCCAAGTTGTACAAGCGAGAAACCCCAGAGTAACCCTTGACACTACCTCTCCCACCTCCAAGTCTGGCTGATTTTAATGTTTTAAGTACCTCTCTAATCCATTTCCTTTTTCTCTACCTCTACTTTAGCAAGATAATCTACTTATTGATCCTTGATTCCACTGCTCTCAAAACATCCTTTCAAATCCTCTGCACGTACTTTAGTTCCACCCTCCTCCCCCTTCACAATCCTTTCTCCTCACAGCACCCATGACCTTTCCAAACACAAATTTGATCAGAACAACCTCCTGGTTACTACTACTAGCTCTCAGGATAGAGGTGAAAAATGTGAACATGGGCCACAGGGTCCCATTTGGTTTGATCCAAGTTCTCTGAGTTCCCATCTTATTTCAATTTGTCAAATGTACAATATACCCTTCAGTTCTCAAAAAAAGGATTACCTGAACCCCTGATCTGGTAAAATGTCCACATTATACACTCTAACTCATCTTTCCAGTTAGTAAATATTGACAGTACACTATTTTGCAAGGAGCTAGTTAAAATGAAAACAGTATTCCTGACCACAATAAAGCCAACATTTTTGTGCAAATAACAGGGACCCGACACACACACACACACACAAGAGAAAGATATAAAACAGAGAAAGGTTCATGTTGTAATAGGTACTAAGAAAGAAAACAAAGTTAACAATGTGTTGTATGTATGGATGCTGTAAGGGAGAGGGATTGTTCTCTGAGTAGGAACAATTAAATAGCAATCTAAAAAAGAAAGTAACTATAACAAGGGGAGGGGAAAATGATTCTGGGCAAAGAAACTACAGGTGTATAAAGGCCCTCAGACATTTAGAGGAGTAAGACCAGTACCCAGGGAGGGAAGGGAGCCTGTGGAAGACTGGCACCTTCACAGGTTAGAGAGAGAATCAGGAGATGGATTGTTTAAGGTTTTGTACTAACTGAGTTACTTATTCTTGACTTTTCAACTGAGGGCTTTTACTAGGAAAACAAAGTGATCCAATTTATATTTTACAAAGTTTAGTTTTGCTAAACTGTGGAGAATGGAGAAAGAGGGGGGCAAGTATGAAAGTGGCCACTATACAAAACAACAGTGTTTGCAGAATATGCCTAAATTTGTCATTTAGTTAATGTGTGTCTCTCCCACATCTTAAGTAAGTTCCATGAGAGCAAGAACCTTGGGTGGTTTTATAACAATATTAGCAGTGCCTACAACACACAATGTCTAGCACAAAGCAGTGTCACAGATGAAAATTATCAATGAAACTCCTTCAATGTAAGAGAAAAAGTCAGGAATTTCTCTCTTTCTCTGTCTCTCACACATGCACACAAACCACACACACACACACACACACACACACACACAGCCTTATCCAAAATGGAGCTTTTTAAATTATTAAGTGGATTCCAAGAGTGTAATATTTGGTGTCTATGTTAGCCTATATAATTGTCTAGGGAGGGCTCCTCAGTTTTTATCAAATTCTCCAAGGGCTCTATAAGCTCCAAAATTTTAAGAACTACTAAAGCTATAAGGTACACTTATCACAGGACATAAAGAGATAATCATCTAAAATAGAACAGGGAATAAAATAAAATCTAAGTTCTTTGGAGATAAAGTTAAATCCTGATTATTCACTCACATGAAGAATAAATATTGTATGGACTAACGTTTTTTTTAACGTTACTTATTCTTGACTTTTCAATTGAGTATTTGGTTTTCCTTTATAACTGTATTTCATTTCAGTACTTAGTATTAGTATTCGCAATTCCAAGTAGGCAGAAGCAGTTTGCAATCATACTTTTTTCAAATCAAACTTTTTTCAATGATAAGAATTATTCTATAGACGATCAGGTATTATTGGAGAGTTACTTAACTAAATAGTTACTTTTAAGTACAGAATTCAATATAAAACTCACTCAACAGCCTCCATATTGTTTGTTTTTTCTGTCACATATCAGTACAGCTGACTCCTACTTTCTGACTTTCTGATACAGATCTAAAAAGAGCTACGCCATGAACACATAACAAAGGAAGTCACAACACTCCAGAGAAAAAGTTTGGTTTGTTTTTATAGACACCCACAACAGCACTCCCCTCTTCCCATGAGGTTTAGTAACAATGTTAGCTTGTCCATTAGCATAGCAAAACACATTATATACAGGCTATTTTTAAAATTATTTTTGGATAAAACACTGAAATTTTAGTAATCATCAAACACTAATCATAATAGTAATTTCCTACCCAAAATCAAGTAAGATGCATAAAAACATTAATGGGGATTTTTTCTACTACCCAAAGTTTTAAAAATAACCACTATTTTAAATAACAGGCATCTCAAATTCTCCTGTCCAGAAACACAATGTAGTTCTTATAGAAATTTGTATAGTTTATTTGCAATCATAGATAACAATTTATATTCTAGCAATGAAGCATACTTGCTACTTCTGTGCTTTGAACTCACCGTTGCTTAATATTTGTTAAGACTCACATAAGACTCCTATGCATGTTATAGACAAAGTCCTGAGAAAACCTTTTATTCACATGCACATACACACACACATATCAATCCATACTTACCAAATTGAAAAGATTACTATCTTTTGTGTAAGACATACATTCAGATTAATAACTCAGTCATTAAGATATGCTTATAGAAGTGGATCTTGTGTGGCTAATGAAAGATTATCTTCTATTTTGCAAGACATAAAATACAAGGTTACAAACTGTAATATCAGTAAAGCATAGGTTCAATAAGAATCACTAATAATTTTCAGGGAAATTTATATATAACATTTCTTTAAAATAGCTTTTGCCTGCCACAGTAACAACTTAAATTTAAAACTGAAGTATGGTTTTAATTACTTCTTTGAAACATATTTTTTGAGGAAGCAGTACTTATCTTTATACACTTAAAAGGAAGCCAGGATATATTAAAAGTTCTATTCATTCATTGAGCTACTGACTATGCTAATATGTGCCAAGCACTAGTCTGTGAAACAAAACTTGAAACAAAAAGGAAAATGGTAGGTCTCTATTCGTGTAGAGCATACTATAGTAGGAGAGACATACATATAAAGTATTTATGGATACCAAGACTGTTATGAAGAAAATAAACAGGATGATGTAATTTGGGAGGTGCTTTCCATATGATGGCCTCTCTGGGGGTTGACATTAATTAGAGCCAAGACCTAAAGGATGAGAAAAATCAGGGATATGACAAGCCAAGGAATGAGTTCCAGACACAAGAAAAAGTCTGGCATGTTCCAGAAAAAGAAAGAAGGAAAAGAGCATGAAATGTTAACATTTCTTTCCTATTCTGCTAACAGCAGCATGGCTTAACAGAAAAACCACGGACTTGAAGAAGTAAGTTTGGATTTGAACCCCAGCTCTACTAACTTAAAAGTTATGTGACCTTGGGTAAGTGACCAAAACTTTTTAGCCCCTTTTTCTTAATAATGGAGAAAATCAGATCCATATTTTATGACTACTAACATTAAAAAACAATCTTCATCACACAAAAAATGCTCAATTCCTTCCTTCTTCCAAAACTGGTGTCACTTCTACCTTTCTGAACCAAAAAAAAAAAAAATTACAAACCGTTTTCTCCTTAAAGTTCACAATCTATGCAAAATGACTTAAATAAAATTATTTCAAACAATATTTTCAGTGCTGCTTAAAATAATCCAGTTTTCATGGAAATTATGATGTAAGTCCTCTCCCTGCATTCCCTTTAGGGTGATGAATTGTTTCCCTGTGCGTTCTATTCTCCTTGTCTGTGGAGTGTACAGCACAGGTTACTAACAAAGGCCACTTTACTCCCTGGGTGTATCTCAGGAGAAATGCACCATTGGCTCAAAAACAGCAGCAAAAACTACAAATCCCATATTTGAGAAGATAAAATAAAAGAATTAGTGACTACTTTCCTTCCTAGAACAGGTAGCAGCTCCTAATCTACACTGATCAGGGGGAAATGATCTCTTCATATTAAAAAAAGGTTAAATAAATTATAATCTTAAATAATTACATGAACATTCCATATCCCCCAAATAAAAGTGAGAAAAAATAGCTGCAATGCAGTGAAAGCTGCTAAAATACTTCCAGTTCTACCATGTTTCCCTGAAATAGCCCTAGCAGGATTTCTAAGAATTTGCGCAATTTAAGCCCTACCCTGAAAATAAGACCTAGTGATGGGCGTGGATACGTAGCATATCTGCACAACCCAAGCATTTTGTCGGGAGCAGCCCTTCTCATCTGCCCCATCATGACAGTTACTATCCCAGAGGTGACAGGAAAGGTGTGGGCAGCCCCACCAACAAGGTCGGCTCCCCCTGTCAGATCCTGGCCATCCTATGCATGCTGCAAGCTGAGGCATTGAGGGGAAAATAACACATCCCCTGAAAATAAGCCCTAGCGTGTCTTCTTGAGGAAAAATAAATATAAGACCCTGTCTTATTTTCAGGGAAACACGGTAATACTTCCCGTTTATCTTTATATCAGAAAAAGTCTGACTAGGGGATTTCAGACAGTTCTCGCCCATCAATTCCCAATACAGAAAATGCTGCCCTGTGTCACAACTAGCTTTGTCAACTGTTAAATTACATTACATTTTAGAAAAACAAAATAAGGTTATAGTTTTAGAAATAGAGAAGAAAGATGAAAAACACTGGAGCACTTTAGCTAACTTACTATCTTTTATAAAGAGTTTGAAGCCTGTTTAGAGTGAACAGAATAGAGAAAAAGAATAGAATCTGCTATCTATAAAGCAGCATGCTGAGAGCCAAAAGTTTTAATACAAAGTAAAATGGACAGATTAAATTCAGGGAGATGGGGAAATCCCATTTTCCTACTTCACTGTAAATATATAGTGATTGAAACTTTCATATTAACAAAGATGTAAATGAGGCTGTCAAATTAAATAGAAACTTTCTATTTAATAATATGCAATAATTGCATAATGTTTAAAAATTTTTGCCCATAATATGCCCTGGTTAATTCATTCTCTGGTTCATTACTCTGCACATATCAATGACAGGTATCTGGGCAAACATCCTCCCCACCTCACAAAAAAAGGATTGTTCTAGGCATTATCTCAATGCTGTAGCAAATACATTCAATTTCTTCTGAATCTGAAACAGGTTCTCACGAGATATATACATATGCTACCTTTAGACACATCACTTGGCACTTAATTCCCCATACATGAAAATCAACAAGATCACCTAATCTGAGGCTTACAATGAGTGCCTTTTTTATAGAGGGATATACAGAATAAAGCCATGAAATACATATCTGACAACATACTATTTAGGAATGTTTATGACTGTTGCCATATCATTGGTGGCCCATATCTATGCTAAGTAAGTACATAGTAAAGCATAAATTAAAAGAAATACTGATAATTTAACATTATTTTCACAGTTTCAGTGACTTGTCATAAAGAAAAATTGGGTTCTAGCATTTTTAGCTCTTCCTCCAAAATAGATTGCTACTTATATCAGGAAACTGTAATTATTTTTTTAATGTCGTTCCTATAAATACTTTGTTGAAAAATAAAATATCTGCTGCTCTTCAGATTAATTTCATACTTGGTACTAAGGAACTACAAGAGTCTAGGGGTGATTTAATACTTCTGACACATAATTCAATAGGTCTGAGTCAAATGTATTGATTTCTAATCTTCTCAGACAACTTCATTATTTTTTTCCTACAACTATTTGACTCAACTACCAATCTTATGTCTGAGAAAACATGCTCTTTTATTTTGTAGCTGGCTCTCCCTATATTATACCTGATTTCTTGGGTTCCAACCCCTTCAGTTGGCCCTAAAACACTTAAATCTAATTTTACATTAAATCAAATGTAAATAACAGTAACAGATTGAGGTTTCCCATCATTTGCCATCTTTTCATCAACTCACCACAAACCACTCTCCAGAACTTAAGAACCATCACAGGAGGGAGCCACTGTTGTTTAGGGCAAAGTGTCACATTCTTGAGTTTGGGAGTGGAGTTGTGAAGAAAAGGACTGTCAAACATGTTTTAGAGATTTTTTCAGTTGCTATAAAAGGATTATTTCTGGTATCATCATTTAAAACCTGAGGTTCCTTGGGCAATACTTTGCAATACTTAGGAGGCAATGAGGAAAGGCTACACCCAAGCAACTGAATCCCATTCAATGGTTACTATGGTTTGGGTCCCTTAAAAGCTTGCAAGACAATAATAAAGATCAACCTGAGCTGTCTGTTGCCCATCATCAGTTCATATATGACAAGGCCTAAACAGAGAAGGCAATCAATCCTACCAAGGCCAAAGATCAATAGCCTGGGAATCAAACAGCATGATTTCTAACTCGTGTCTGCTACCAGCTAGCTCCAGCTATTGACCACAAACAAATTACCCAACTTCACTGCACTGTTAGACCCCCATAAAATGAGGAGACCCCATGCCTTTTTAAAATTTATATAGAATAATGTCTATGAGAAAGTATAAACATAATGCCAGAAATCATATTCTCAGACTTTCAGTATTCATTCATTTTTCTTTGTGATTTAGTACTCAGACACCAGCATCACTTTTATGTATTTGGTTTTATGGGCAATTTTTTTTTCAAAACAAATTTTGGTGTTTTTTTCTTTTTTACAATAGTGTGACTGGGATAGGGTTCATTCATTTATTCATTCCTCCAACAATTATTTTATTTAATATCTCCTCTATAGCAGACACTGTTGTTGCATGGAAGACATTGGTGGATGCAAAAGTGATTAGGTGAACTTGCCTGGTCAAAGACTAAAAGTGCTATGAAAAATTAAATATTCGTCTTCTTTCCCTAGAGTTTATAAAATGCAAATCTAGCACCAAAATAAAGGCTTACTCATGTTCTATTAATATAGTTATCTGCTGGGAAATTCATTTATTCATTAATTTATTCATTCATTCAGCAAATATTTATTCATTTAAAAATATCTGTTGTCCCTGGCACTTTCCTCAGGTCTGGGAATATATACTAGCAAAAGACACCATCCCTGCTCTCACGAAGCTACAATAAAGTAACATAAAACTAGTTGCGAATCAAGAACTATCTGTTACCTTAATATTAGATATCAATACAGAGCTATTTGCTAAATGAAAAGAGTACTTGCCTAGTAATGGCAAGAGGTGATAGGCACTACTGGGTGGTAAGAGAAGTTCAAAATTCACTGGCAACAAATTAAAAGGGAAGCAAAAGTTGCTAAAAGGGGCTGGGTTATTATGGATTGGCTGGGCTTTTTCTGAGGAATTTACCAATAAGGATAATGCAAAAACAATATGCTTAATCTATTCTTAAAAAGTATCTATTTTCTAAATTTAAGAAGTTTTTTCTGTCATCCATTTTAGTCTTCTTTAAAAATTCCTTGGGCCAGGTGCACTGGCTCATACCTGTAATCCCAGCACTCTAGGAAGCTGAGGCAAAGAATGGCTTGAGTTCAAGAGTTCAAGACCTGCTTGAGCAAGAGCAAGAACTTGTCTCTACTAAAAACAGATAAAAATCCTTGATAACTAACATAAGATGAGCAGACCACATTATAATCTGGTATTTCACCATATTAATTTTCTTTTCCCTTAAGTTACAAATTTTGCTAGTTTTAACTTTGTCAAGTGAAACAAAATTCAAAGGTAAATGCAATATTTCTTTTTTTATAAATTATCTTTTGCCATACTTTCTGATAACAAAAACAGACTGATGTAATTAAGGAAAAACACTAATTTTAAGTAAATTATTTTATAACAAAATAACATATGATGAAAATGTTCAAGGGTTAAACCAAGTATATTCATGCATTTGTTGATGAAGAACAATATCAAATGTTAAAAGACATTTTAGAAGTGATACTGACAAAATTAGTAAAATATAAATTTCTCTGGGTGTAACACTGCACAGCAATACCTTTAATCAGACATATGGAACCTGCTAGGACATCTGACATCTCTTAGCAAATGGTAGATGAGTTTCTTTAAGTGATTTGATGTTACTGAAAACTTAAAATCTTTGCAAAACTAGCTATGCTAAAATACTTTGCTACTTATCCTATTAAAATGTCAGTAAAATATGCACATATCCTAAAACTAGTGACACGTAATGAAAATTATCAAAATAAGCCAAAGTTAAGCAATTGGAAGACAACAGTGTATTTTAAAACAATCACCTATTACATGGTTAAAGTGTTTTTATAAGATAAAGTGAAAAACAATAATGAATAAAAAGAAAACTAAAGGCAAGTATTTTTTAAATTAGAAGCAAATATTCTTCTTTTGTAGACTAACTTTATTTCACAGTTTAGAGTCAGTGTAGATACTGGCCTCCTTCTAATCTAATTTCTTAATATGTAAGATGAGGAAACTGAACCATAGAAATTAATTAGACTCAGAATTAGACCAAAAACCCAAATTATGGATTCTCAGAAATTATGTTTTCCTAAAGCACCTCCTGAGTCATGTTATCATGGTGTATTTTTCCAGGAATTCAGAGATCTAAGTGACTGAACTCATACACAAAATGTGATTATAAAATTTGCTAGACAATTACCCTAATCCTATACATCATATGTATCAAAACATCACTACATACCCCATGAATATGTACAATTATTATTTGTCAATTAAAAATAAAAATAAAAAAAATTGCTAGACATATTGCACATTTGAGGCTTTCATATACACTTTTTTTTTTTTTGAGACAGAGTCTCGCTTTGTTGTCCAGGCTAGAGTGAGTGCCGTGGCGTCAGCCTAGCTCACAGCAACCTTAAACTCCTGAGCCTCCCGAGTAGCTGGGACTACAGGCATGCGCCACCATGCCCGGCTAATTTTTTTTTTTATATATATATATCAGTTGGCCAATTAATTTCTTTCTATTTATAGTAGACACGGGGTCTCGCTCTTGCTCAGGCTGGTTTTGAACTCCTGACCTTGAGCAATCCGCCCACCTCGGCCTCCCAAGAGCTAGGATTACAGGCGTGAGCCACAGCGCCCGGCCTCATATACACTTTTAAAAAGACCACAAAGTAATTGCATGCTATTTAGTCTTTAAAATATGGAAAACCAAGTTTTTTATGAAAAAAAAACCATGAAATGTCCCCAAAATGTTAGTTTCTAGGAATCAAAAATTTCAAATACTTTTTTATTGTTCTCCCAATTTTCTATGATGTCTGAATTTGCTCATAACACAAGTCATTAAAAATACTTTTATGTTTTAAAAACAAAGCCTCATATAAGATTAAAGTTCAAAGGACAAAAAGAAAATGAGTATTAATCAAATAACACATAACTTTTGTTTTGTGGTCATTTTTACTTATGTGAGAATTTGTAATCATGTAGAATTAGGAAAAAGAAACATTTATTTCAAAAACTACCATGCAACAGAGATAAAAATAATAGCATTAAATTAACACAATGACTTAAATTACACAATTTCTTTTCATAAAAACATTTATACACAGGCATGTCAGAATTAAAGTGGCAAATGTTATAAAATAATTTGATGCTCAAATTATTAAAATATTTTAAAACTCAGTGACAATTTTTCTTTATCTTAAACTGTGTCAGTTATTTCAAGCTTTTATTAGTAGCATCTTCTTAATCCTTACTAATTATCAAAATAATCTGAATGTTCAAACATCAAACATAATTATTTAAACTCTGGACAATTAATTCCATAGGTACATATCAAAATTATATTTATTCAGTTAACATTTTCTAACATGTAGAAAAATAAATGATAATACACATTATTTGACTATAAACTCCCTGGCATTTTAAAATAAAAACTACATAGCAGGCTGAAAATAAACGATAGCCAACAAAAAACAAACACCCTAAATTACAAATGGCACACTATATTATGTCTGGGAAAACAACGATAAATGTATCCATAGTTTATTTCATGTGTTTTTTAAAGTGTAAGTTTTGTAAATAATTATTTTTTTCAGTACTTTTATTTACACTTGCTATCGTTTTTAAAGGTTGCTAAATTTTCACCATCCCTGATGTATAAGTAATTATCCTCAATTCTGATAACTTAAGAACACCAAGTTAAATACTGATCCTGTTCTGTCTGTTTAAGCTGAATCTCTAAGAGATGAGATGTGTTGTGTTTGGGAAGACAGCAAAGATAAGATTAAGGAATACTCTATCTCAAGCCTTGGTTCTAAATATTTTTATACCACATTTGTTCTTCCTAAGAGGAATGTTATGGGAATAGCTAAAACAATCTTCATTCTTAGTTTTAGTTCTTCACACCACCAACCACCAAAAACTGCACATAGTAAAAACTTTATGAATATAGCATTTGCTGAATGAAATAACAAATGACTTTATGTATAATTCCAATCAAGAAGTGGCACTATGGGCTCAATGATTAAGTGTATGTTCTAAGTGTCATTAGATCTGGCTTTCTCCATTTTGACATGTCATATATAGCATTTCAAATTGCCTATATGTGGCCTCAATATAAACCAACATTGCTATTATCCTAGGAGAATAATAATAAATTTAAGTACCTAGAACTAACTGCTTATATTTCCAAGAGTTAGAGTATTATATAATATTTAACTAATACCCTAATCTGATTTCCAGTTTCTTCGCCACTGGTCCAAATGTAGTCGTCTTTACATTTTCTTATTTCTCTAATCCCAACTAACCATAATTCTAGTTCTCCATTTGAGATAAGAATGCATCCCCATATATTTTCAAGGGCCATTCTAAAAGTACCAATATAACAGTAAAGATTTAGTTGACAGTAATGAGGATAAAGATTAATTGCTCTATAAACATAAGAAAAATTCTTCTAAGAGGCCCATAGAAGGTTAGATCAATGGCATATATAGCCAATGATATTCTCTCTAACCCTCTTACAAAATAGGAGTTTAAAAATTTCTTCATTTATCCAATAATTTACTTCAATATTGTTATATACAAAGAACTCAAATTTAAAATAAAAGTGATATATTAAATCACAATATAATCTTTTAATTATATATTTATTGACTAGGAACAAACCTCTTCCACATACAAGCTATCAATGGATGGTGAATTTGAAAGAAGAAGCTGGTATTATGTGAAAGTTGCCACCAAAAAGAACCATCTGTGGGCTGATAAAGGCTTGTCTACTGAGGTGTCTATGCAATGCCAAAATATCTAGTCAACACAATTAAAACACAGAGTTAAGAAAGATGTCTGGCACCAGAGACAAAAGCATATGCTGAATACTCCATCTTTCACTTTCTCAATTGGCTGTCTGCAGTAAGACCTAGACCAGGGAGACTTAGCTTGAGTGTGAACAGTGGCTTATGCATGTATGAACCTTTAAAGCCATTTCCTTTTTATATATATGCATTGCTTACATTATGGATGGTTAAATCACAGCCACCACAGTATATACATGCATCTAGAAACATTTTAAAACTAAAAACCAAAATGGATTTTCATTATTATACAAATTAAAGAGCATCATAAATTTTGTGTCAGATATCCCTGGATATGAATGAATCTCATCACTATATTCTTGATTCAGACCTAAGTCACCTATCTGTGCATAAGTTTCCTCAGCTACAAAATTGAGAAAACAGCATAAACTGCATAGAATTATTGTGAGCATTACACCCAGGGCAATGAATAAAAAGTCCCTAGTACACAGGGTCTGATATCTAGTAAGGATTCAGCATAGGGTGGCCATTGTTTTTAGATTTGAATGAAAATCCAAATTAGAGAGAGAGATTAAAATCTAGTTCTTTCTATATACCTATAATAAAAGCTTCCCAAACTTTACTCATGTTTCTTATTTAATAATGAATGCATGCCTCACACTAAATGCTTGCTAGAAATTATGAAATATTAAGGCCCTAAAATATTTTGTTAATTCTGTAATTAAGAATGCCCCACTGACAAGTCTGTCTAAGTCTCAGCATATTACCACTACTATATTTTTAATCGTAATAACTTCATTAAACTGACCTCAGAAATTATCCATCATATCCACTTCTCTTCTTGTATTTCTTATCTTGGTGAATTCACAATCCACCTTGATTCCTGACATTCACCACTCACCAAATCTAGACATAAACTGATATTTCCGCCAGCCCTGAGTTCATTCTAACTCAAATGATCTGCTTACAGGCACTGCTGAGGGGCAAAGCCAACTTGACTGAGACCCTGCCAGCAATCACTCACAGTTCATTGAAAAAGATATGGTTCTTTGACTCAAGAGCAGTCAGCCCATGATCCTGAGAGCAATGTATGATGTGGCTTCATAAAAGAAAAGGAGTGAAACGCATGAATTTCTCCTGTTCTCAGGAATTCAAACTGGGAAACATGGGACAATTCCAGAATTACAGCAAGAGCTGAAACTGACAGGGTGATAAGGCTGGGTGGAGTACAGTAGAAATCCTAAAACAAAACTGCAAGGCAGGAAAAATAAGAAAAAGATTGAGTAGAGGGAAAGAAAAGAGAGAAGTAGGCAGATACAAAGGGAATCCATGGGCCAAATAACTAAGCGAATAAACAGAGTCCCAGAAATGCCTGCTGCTTCAGATTGTGAATCTGTGTTAGATATGACCAGTTTCCACACCATCTTCCAAACTCCACAAGGACCAGCCAGGCATATGACTCCCCCTGGATCCCTGACAGAGAGTCTAGTTTACTTTATTCCCAAACCTCCATTAGTCTCTGTTCCTTACTACCCACAAACTTGAATAAATCACCCTTTCTCTCATCAGTGATTTATCAAATCCCATCAATTCTACTTCTGAAATCTCATCAATTCATTCCTTTTTATCTAATCTCATTGCAATTTTTTCCTAGTCTCTCACTCTTCCTTACCTGGATATCACTGCCACAGGCACAAATGGACAGGGCACAGGATGAATTCAGCTCACAGGTATATTTCATTTGCCCCATCAGTGTCTGAATTTGTGTTTTAAGTTAGTTGCCCATATTTCAAAATACAGAGATATAACATTCAAATTGAAACTCTGACTTTTCTTGAGAAAAAAAAAAATCAGCTCGAAGGACAATACACTCACATTGAAAAAGTATCAAAATAATGACAAAATAAACACCTGAATCTGAGTGCCATCTGCTTACTTTAGACAAGCATGCATTTTCCAGTTTTGTTTCATTTCGTTATATCCTGCCTACTTCACTGGTTTATGTTAATTGTCTGGTCCCACAGGAACTTGTCAAACATTTTATTGTTTGCAACAGTCAACCCCATTAACCCAAATACATACTTCTAGAACAAAAATCTATGATCACCCTTTAAAGTATTCTATAACTATCTCTCCTACATGATAAAATTCCAACTCTTCCACATGAATGATCTAGCCCCAGCTTTATTCAAAGCTGTCTCTAGTCACCCCGCCATGCGCAAATATTGAACTGTTTGAACTGTTTGCAATTCACCCCGTTTTTTAGTAGCATTGTTTCTGCACTCTCTTCCCATTCCTAGAATGCCTTTCTCATTCTTCTTCAGCTGGCCAATTCTTAAGCATTCAGGTATCTCTGCTGTTTCAGTTTCAGCTGGTGTGCCACCTATGCAGCTCTCTCTAGTTTTCTTGTAAGGTGTCATAAGGTACCATTATTATTGTTAAGTTCCTTAAAGGCAATAAACATGCCTAGTACACAGCACAGTCTGGGCACATGGCTTACGTTCTGGCAGATGTTAAATAATTACTGATGAATAAATGTTTAAACATTTCATTTCCAGGCCTTATCAGTTCTAAAAGTTAGGCATGTTCCCAGTTTTATACTAAATAAGAAAACACAGGCTCAAGTTAAATAACTTGCACAAGTTCACATAGGTGGTCAGAGAGTCAGAATTTGAACCATTAGACTTTACACCAAAACTCGTTGCCTTTGAGTATGTATCTTTTGTCGTTCCCATGAGAAACTCATATAAATGTAATTTCACTACAGGATATGTCAGTGAAAGGAAACAGAGACCAAGTCAATACAAACGACCATAATGCCTAATCCTAAATCAAAGCTGACAGGACAAATCCTGTGAAACGTTCAGCAGTATCACTGAAATGTAACTGGCTGTAGAAATTCCATGGCCACGTTCAGAGCTCAAGGAAAACCATAAAAAACTTTTATAATATCTTAATTTTGAGCACTTAGCACTTCATTATCTTACCATAATGCAAAGATGATTACAAAAAAGAAAACAAAAATGCAATCTATAATGGAAATGTATTAAGAAAATTCACTGCCCACAGGATAGGCAAAAGATAGACCACAAAACTCTTAAGAAAAATATTTATGATAGTCAAAAAAACACAATTAACAGAACTAATTAAAGGATAATTTTGTGATCTAACTTATTAAATTTCCACAAAAGTAACACTGTTACAAATGCTTCCAGCACAAATTAATTTGAGCAGTACTTAGCAACAGCTTGCGAGATAAATTTGTTAAGCATAAAATTCTAAATTTTGTTTTCAAACATCACAGTACTACATTACAAAAGAACTTAACCCTATAACAATCACCTCATGTAGTGGTAAAGATCAAAATGTATGAAGAAACAAAAAAAAAATCTTTAATATTTCTTTAACCACTTGCTTTGCTTTCATTTTTTTTACAATCTTTGACAATTTCACTGCTTATTCACATAGGTTGCAAATCATAAAGTTTTTAAAGAGATTCAAACATGAAGCCTAATTAAATGTCCCAGTTTTCTTTAAAACACCAATACCCACATTTTTTTTTTTGCCTTCACTTGCATCTCTGGGCCAAAAAAAAACACTAACAAGTATTGTTCTAGGTACATTAGGGAGTAAAACCCTTGAAAGCAATAATCTTCTTCACACAGATGGATATAGGTGTTTTCAGTGTTCAATATAGCATCCTCTTGCCACATAAGCACCTGCAGTCTTATACTGTCCTGCACGGCATTCCTAAAAACACCTGGGCAAGCTGTTCACTAAAAAAACTAGACATTGGAAGAGATGATGGATAATTAGCAAATAAAACTATTCCTGGCACTCTCCTGACATTAGTGCAGAACCAAGCTCCAAGCCAGCACCTGGTAAAGGGAACTGCTAGATGTGATAATTCCAATTTACACATTCAGCACAACATTCTGTCTGCCTGTCAATTTGAAACAGTTTCCTATTCAGTGATAACAGATACCCCAAAAGAATGCAGTGTCAAAATGCTGACATGAATTTTTTATGCACCAACTAGACCCTCTCCTCTGGACCAGCTGCATCTGCTTTCTTCACTCTTGGACTGGTCTGACAGTTCAGTTCTTTTGTCTACTATACCGAAAAAATTTTGATTTTTATAAGGTAAATTTAAAGTATCAGATCTTCATATAGAATAAAATACCAATAAAATTTTCTTAAGCACAGATAAAAAAATAATTTAAAGAAGTTGTAAAAAAATTCACTATGTTAGTGTATCTTTATTATAATATATACTACAGTACTTCTCAGCTGCTAAAACCATGAAAGTATACATTTCTACTGGATACAGAATTTACTAATATTTTTCCTAAGTTGATAGAGAAAATGAGAATAGAAAAAAGCAAGAAAGAGACAGACACACAGAGACAGCATGTTAAATCAGATATACATTTGCAAATGCTAAATCCGAAGACAAAAATAAAATTTTTACTCAAATCCATGGAGGTTTATTTTCCTCCAGATATTTTCATATGATCATATTTTGAAGAAGTACTATAAAAAGGCAATTAGGTCAATGTTATATTCAGGGGAACATTTTATTCCTTCCTACTTAAATGGCAAATATATGGACTATGCTTAAAGAATGTTACTGCTTGGTTTTTTTTTTTTTTTTAAGAGATGGGGTCTCACACTGTGGCCCAGGCTGGAGTGCAGTGATGTGATCATAGCTTACTGCAGCCTCCAACTCCCAGGGCTCAAATGATCCTCCCACATCAGCATGCTACCATGCCTGATTAATTTTTTAAAACAAGTTTTTTTAGAGAGGGGGGTTTTACTATATTGCCCTGGCTGGTCTCAAACTCCTGGACTCAAGGGTTCCTTGCACCTTGGCCTTCCAAAGTGCTAGTATTACAGATATGAGCCACCATGCTCAGCCTGTTTTTGTTACTTTTTCCCATATACATGCCAGATTAGATTCATAAATATCTCTCTCCATAAGAAACAATCCCCTTCTCCTTTCAGGTAGTTACTTGGAAAATTATTGATTTGTTCTAATAATGCAGCAATATTCCGCTTATATTTGTCTTATAAAATACTAATATATTGTTTTCATTTACTTTCAGTGGTGCTAAACTTTCATTTTAAGAATGGACTGCCTTTCTAAAATGAATATAAACCATTCAGGAAAGAAGTTTGATCAAACAATGGGGAAATACACACGATCTCAAGAATTTTCTAAATAACTAGAGATACTGCCATTAGTTATTATTTTTAAATAAATGCCTTCATAATCATCTTCTAAAGCATCTTCTCAAACCAAAGAAAGCATATGACAATATCAGCTGGGTTCACCACTCGATTTCAGGAAGAAAACTCCATGTTTAAGGAAGAGAAGCCAACATTAATTAATTCAGGTACAGGTTATTATCATCCAGATAATTTAAAAAACTATCAAAATCATGCAATAAGAATTAAGGCCGCAGTCAGTAACTAACTAGAGTTTACTACAATTAAGTCTTACAGTATACTTAAAGTATACTCAGCTGTTAATCCTAAAGACTATTCCTACAAGGTATACACTATACATGTATGGACACTTGTTTGTTTTCTATATTCACAAACTCACCATACTGTTTTAGGTGGTCATTAGTGAAACTGCTGTCCCATAAATGAAGTATATATTTTAAAATGTTACTTTGTTACTAAGTCACCTTGAACCCACTTCTCAATTAAAATATTTCTGAAAGCCTAAGCACTACAAATAATATAGAAATAAATAAAACATTGTCCCTGACCTCAAGAAATTCACCAAAACATATAAAGGAGGCATAAGAGGTGACATATCACAAAAAAAGCCTTTCAGGAAAACAAGTACCTATAAATTGCTCTGTGCAACAGAAATGTACTTTCTTGGTCACATTCGACATATCTTAAGTGTTCAATAACCACATGTGCTTTACTATATTGAACTGTGCTGCTTAGATAAATTCAGAGGATTCCTGTTTACATATATTTAAAAAAAAGTTTCATAAGATTACTAGCTTTTGAAAAAGTATACTAAAGGCCAAAAAGAAACTGAATATGTAGAAGGGTGAATTCATCGGCATTGTTTTTAAGAAACAATTAGTAATATAGCCTGGCTAGAGGTATGGGGTATGGGAGGAAACCCACACTTTGAAGTTAAAGTTGAAGTCTGAATTTTATGCTACATCTTTTAGTAAAACCTGGTCAAAGAATTGACAAGATTAAAGTAAATAATGAAAATATAAGTAAATGAAAAGACAATGGCTAACATATAGCAGATGTTCAGAAACTGAAAGAAGGGGGAAGGCAGGGGGAACAGAGAGAGAAAAAGGATGAAGGGGACTTAAAGGGGTGCTGAGAAGAAGACATGAAGGAGAACAGAGCTAGGTGCTGGCTCTTACTTTTGTTCACTAAAGTAGACCAATATTAGCTCTAAGACCCTAATGAAATGTTATGGTTAAGCCTTAAAATGATCTACTGATGCTGGCAAATGTTTTTAAAATACTGTGCTCTAGAATACATAGATTAGTAATCAGTAATTAAGTCATAAAGTAGCTTTCATTCTAGTAAAGGTGTTCATAATTAATGTGGGCTCTTGTAGTGGGGCGAAGGAGTATTTAGGAAGAAGGAGTTAAATATTAATACTGTCCACTGACTGTAGCACAATGTCAACCGTATCGTGTGTCCTTGTACTTCTTAGTATATAGCATTTCAAATCTTTAAATGAGTCTCTCATCTGTGGTCAAGTGAAATGCATTCCAAGATACAGAATTAAAGAGGTACTAGTCATTCAAGTTATTTATTTGTATTTCTCTTCAAACCTATGTATTTAAAGTTGTCAAATTATATATCAAAGATTATAAAGCAAATAAACATTACTTAGGAAAGTGTCCACTGTGACAAATTTGTCTTTATCTTTGACTTACTACTTTATTAAAACATTTAATCTTAAAACCTATTTATAGATCTACCAGTATTACAAGGAAGAAAATCTTCCCAAAAGACCAAAATATTATTTAAAATTAAACTTAGTTTAATCCTTTTTTAAAAAAACAAAATTACTAGAAACATTTGTTTGGACAAATTGAAGGGTTTCAATTTTACATCATTACGTTTTAACTTGCCTAATCAGTTGAACAAAAAGTACTTTATGTAAAATGATTCTTTTAGTTGCCTTAGCTACAAATCCCTGCAGGATAATATAATTGAAATCTACTCACGTAAGTTAGGAATAATTAGGGCCCCAAATTAAGCCAAACACAAAGTTAATTCAAATAGTCAGCTGCTGTCATTTAAATGGTTATGGGGTTTTATTGTTGCTTAACATTTCTGAATGCTTTTAAGTGTACTTTGTTCTTCCGGTCTGTATTTAGTGTTTTAGTACAAATAGAAAAGAGATTGAGAAGTAAAGATTCACCAGCCTTTAAACTGGAGTCACACCTATACTCAGTCTTTTGTCATGGAAGTTTTTCTACTCAATCTTGCTATCAGTCAATTAACAACACTGTTGAAAAGAATGGAGTGACAGCTCTCAAAGGCAAGCTTTCTGGTAAATAAAGCAAAATCACAGAATCTACAGTGAGTACCATTAATGCAACAAAAGTAAGAGCTTTTGAAAGCTAACAGGGATGGTTTCTTATTTGCTTAAACTCTAAAACAAAGCAAAGGATTAAACAAGCTTCCTGTTGTAAGCAAACTAAAGGGAAAAGATAATGTCCAAAACCCATACCTGAAAGAGGGGCTTTGAGGGGCTCAGGAGGCATGTCTTTTAACTATTTTAATGATGACTGATAATAAGTTTGAACTGATTCCTAAATATTGTAAAAGTTAAAATTATTACAGGTTTTCAGTATTCTGGTATTGATCGTTCTCAGCAATAGTTGGTACCTTCAAAGAGAAACTATGCTTTTTAAAAAATATGTGTGTGGCTGTAAACTTCTGAAGATTGTCTGAAAGTTGCAGAGTTAGCAAGACTGGGAGTCTCCTAATGTATATAATATTCATTACTGAACAAAGTGAATCTTAACATAGTTTTTAATCTAAAATGGTAATATTAAGAAAGCTTTGAAATACATTATGTCTTTTGGTAATCACCATAAATTACACAATGTTAGGTAAAATATTTTAAGGCGTATTTTAAATATTCTTGAGTGACAGCCTCATGAGAGGAAAATACACCAATGATCTGAAGCTAAATATAAAATTCTACAGAAAGAAAAAAAAAGTTGCAGTAAGCAGAGGTTGACAAAGGAACAATCTCTGCAGGCCCTAGTTTCTTCATCTGAAAAGTGAAAAATTCTACACTTGCTAATCTCCAAGTTGTGATTCCCAGTCTAATACTCTTTAATGCTGCCAAAAAATTCAAAATAAAAATATTCTGACCTCTCAGGTACATATATAGAACTCCTATTTGTTTAAAATTTGCTATTTGCTTACTTTTTTTTGCCTTTAAAAGGCTTAAGAGTCTAATAAACTTCATGAAGAAATAAATTTATAATTTGCTATTTACATTATCATAAAACTAAAATAAGTCATCAGTAATCTATCTTTGTGTGTGTCTGACAGCAAAAGCAAAAGGAGATTCTCTTCAGTAATAAGAAGAAAGAAGAAAATCTTGGATTAAGTATAATACTACCAAATGGAAAAATCACCAGATGACCTCAGACAATAAAATATATTTAGCTGTCTGTGATGATCAGTTTATATTCAAATATTCCCATCCTACAACTGTCATGGTGCTAACAAGTCACGGTATTAATACAGAAGTGAAAATGACAACAACTATTAATTGTTTATGTTGACTGCGAAAAGTTAGTATAAAATAAAACTTTTTCTAAACAAGTTAAGACAATATATATTTTGCATTACATGATTTTATGGAGTTAAATAATAAAATACATTTGTGTTTTAAAACACTATTAAAATAATGTTTATATGAATGATAGAATGAAAGTAGGACAGACCAATGGGGAATAGAGGGAAATATTAGGGAGAAAGGGTTAGGCTGCATTGTTGCTCAGGGATTTTTCAAAGCAAATCAGCAGATAAAAGGTCAATAGAAAGCATATAAAATAGGATTAATAAGTGTAACAAAATATAAAAATGTTCACTAAGGTTTCAAGGTAGCTTAGTGCCTTTTTTTAATAAAATGAGTTATACAACCAAGAGTGCTTTTATATCCAAATGTTAACTATGTTATTTGGGTTAAAAACAAACCTGGATTTACGGCAGTCATTGTCATGCGAAATCTGATTTTCTAGACTAAACACTTTAATAATCAAAACTCCTTGATACAGATGTCCCCTCACAGACCAGCAACCTCAGCATCACCTGGGAGCTTATAAGAAATGCAGACTCTCAATGGATTAAATTTTGAGGAGCAATTTTCTAGAGAAAAATAAGATTTTTAAACCCAGCATGGCCTCCATTAGGTTTCCTCTTCCGCTGTTCGCATCTCTTCCTGAATCTTTCTGTCTCTGGATCCTAATACACAGTCTCTCCTTTCCTAGATGAGCCTTCCTGCCCTTGCACTGGGTTCCATTTCCCTTCCTTCTGCCTGTAGATAAATACAAGTATTTGATATGTCTACTAAACGCAACCAAAAAGGAAAATTACAAAAAAAAAAGCATTTTCCTTAAACAATGGAATACACTGAACCTACACCAACTATATCCTTCACTTTTTAAGAACCTGCCACCCGCACCTAACCTCATATCAGCATTGTACCATATAAAAAGTTGTCTCTTAAAATCCAACAGGCTTTCTATTGTGTTTAACTAAGTTAAATAATTCCTTAGCTCTTACTAATCTATTATGTTAGCTCTAACCAAAACCTGAATTTAATACAGGCATATCTACCACCCTGGTTTAGATTTTAATATGCTGCTACTAACAGAAAGAAATATCAGGAAGAGTGGAGAGAACCAACGATTAATACACACACACAAACATACATCAATTAGATACAAAGAGGTGGTATAAGACGTGTCCTATAAATAAGCAACAAAAAAAATGAGTTTTAACTTAGATCTCTTTTTTAGATTAAACGCCTATGCAAAACAAAACTCTTCTTCATCTGAACCTCTCTTTGTTTTTTGTTGGTTTTTTTTTTCAGATAATTCCTATGTTTCTTGACACTCCAGAATTCCTAAAATGCAGAACTTTATATTCACTATGGGATATTTTAATCCTCTCTCTCTCTCTCTCTCCTCTCCCTCACCTCTGGCTGTAAACCCTCCCCCTTCTCCAAAAAAAAAAAAAAATCCCTTAAAAATAAACTTTATTAAATAGCTTAGGTGCAAAAAAGAGATCATTTAAGTAGAGAAGAACACTGATGTATTATTGGAATCAGAAAAACAGTAACATTTTCATCCACAGTTCAATCTGTGTAGATATAAATGATGAACATTTCTGTTCTTTTTTTCTTTTCTTTTTTTTTTCAGACAAGAGTTTCACTCTGTCACTCTGGGTAGACTGCATTGGTGTCATCATAGCTCACTTGCAACTTCAAACTCCTGGGCTCAAGCAATCTTCCTGCTTCAGTCTCCTGAGTAGCTGGGACTACAGGCATGCGCCACAAAGCCCAGCTAATTTTTCTATTTTTAGTAGAGATGGGATCTTACTCTTACTCAAGCTGGTCTCCAATGCATGAGCTCAAGCATTTCTACCAATCCTCCCATCTCAGCCTCCCAGGGTACAAGGATTATAGGCAAGAGCCACCTAGCCTGGCCTCTTACTTATACTGTTTTAACTGTTGTCCATTATGCATTTTTAATATATGTATGTCCCAATTTCAACTACTTTGTTAGTTAAAATTTGATTAACACCAGTAGTTTAATATTAGTTTACTTCATTTTAAATTAACTGACTGAAAACCTTAGCTCTTAGCTTATAACAAAGGTAATTCCTGATGAATTAAAAATTTAAATAGAAACATTTAAGAGCTACTTATGTAAGTAAATAAATATTTAACTAATAAGATATGAACTCTTAAGAATAAAAACAATGTAAGATCTCACAAAAGAAAATAGCATATACATCAAGAAAGAAACAAGAAAAAAGGATGAATAGGGCAAATGTTAAATCTGTGATTAGTATTGTATTACAAATTTCTTCTGTTTGAAATTTTCATAAAAAATGTCAGCAATATAAATTAAGCTAAAAGGCAAATTGGAATACATTTTTCTTAAGAAAACTGACAAAAGGGTATTATAATCAATGAATAGTAAAAAATAAAAAAAGTAGAAATAGAAGAGAACATAGGCAAAAGTAGTAAACAAAAATACTCACATCAAAATTACAACTGACCAGTAAGCAAATCCATGAGAAATGTTTTCACCCTTACAAGTAGCCCTCAAATTACAAATTGACTGCCACATTAGAAATTGTTTTTTCCCTTAGACCCATGGTGCTTTATTACAAAAATAGAATAAAAACTTCAAAAACAAAACAATCCTTTCTAATTTAATGAAAAATTTCTTTTTTTAAATTGTTTCCTGTGTATGAGTTATATGCAGCTTGAAAAATAGTTCTCATGGCTCCCAAGGTGAAGAGACATGTGAATTACACATGCTTCGTGTGATCTAGG